CAAACCAGTAACCTCGTCATTGTTTCTTGTAATTTCTTATTGATTTTTATTGTTTGGAGATTTTGGTGTTAAGCGCAAATGTACAGAAGTTTGTATAATTTATACTCATTTGCATAATTTATATTCATTTGCTTAGAATTCGGACGATATTAACTATACATTCTTTTGTTCAACAGGTATTTTCACATTTAAGATGTGGTTAGGTTGCTTGTTCATTTACATGTACCTCACTCCTCCTTTTATTCATACTTAATGTATCAAAGAAACTCTGAAACAGGGTTTTGAAGTTTCATTTTCTTTCTTTTTCAGGCAACATTTCCTGGTTCAGAGAAAAACTGAAACACCAGTATTGTTTGTACATGTTTTGATATACAATTATGACAACACCACTCATTTGTTCTCCTGTTGGTGGAGAAATAAAAGTTGACGTTGGAAAGGAAACTAAATGCTCTTCAACATTTAAAAAACTGTTATATACTAGTAAAGTGCTTCTACAAGTATGTGTGGGACTCTAAATAACTCCAATGAGTATCAACTATTACATGTATTAGGATATGATCAACAATATATATATATATATTTGAGGATAATATTAACAAATCCTAAAAGTGTAAATGTTGTACAAAATTGTCAATTCCAATATGCAGAATATCTTCATTGCTATAATAATTTAAGAAGTGTAACAATTCCACTTATGATGATTTTTCCAGACGCTTTAAGTCAAATTCAATTACGTTTGCATCTTTCGGTAAGCATTCCTAATTTTAATTGGACACATATGAAAAAAAGTATTGCTGTTGTGTGTGTGTTTTTTAAGCTGACAGTAGCTACAAATTAAAATTTATTTGATGTGCTTAAGAGAGTTTATTAATGTTTTATCAAAATTTGTTGTTATTGTAATGAAAAGGACAGGAAAATGTTTACCAATCATTTGTCAATTTGTTATTCTACGAGGACTTTATCATAAAGCAACAACTCTCACCTCACTTCACGCCACCAAGTACGATTAAGTTAGTTCATTTATTATTATAATACTACTTTAAAATTAATTGCGGTATTCTTTTCATACGATATATATATGTCTATGTTTTGTTTACCTTGTTAACAATAATGTCCTTAACATAATTCTGTTAACACTATATTGTGTTTTTGGTCAGAACTCTCTCTGATAGACATACATGTCAATATTCTTCATGTTCTTTACATAATTCTTAAAACACTGCATTGTGTTTTTTGTAGAATAATGATATGCCAACATTTCAATATGCATTTTGTTCTTAACAGAATTCTGATAAGACTGTCGCATCTGATACCAATATAATTCTTAACAGAATTCTGATAAGACTCGAATCTAGTACCGATGAAACCCTTAACGGAATTCTGATAAGACTCGCATCTCATACCAATAGTCTTCTTAACAGAATTCTGATAAGACTGTCGCATCTAAAAACAATAGCCTTCTTAACAGAATTCTGATAAGACTGTCGCATCTTATAAAAACGGTATTCTTAACAGAATTCTAATGAGATTGTCACAACTTATACCAATTGGCTTCTTAACAGAATTCTGATACGTTTTTTTCATCTTATACCAATTAGCTCTTAATAGAATTCGAATAAGACTGTAACAGAGTTCTGATAAGTTAATAGTATCTAATACCAATGGCCTTCTTAACAGAATTCTTATAAGTTAGCAGCATCTAGTATCAATGGCCTTCTTAACAGAATTCTGATAAGTCTTTAGCGTCTAATTCCAATGACCTTCTTAACAGAATTCTGAAAAGCTAGTAGCACCTAGTATCAATTGCCTTCTTAACAGAATTCTGATAAGTCTTTAGCGTCTAATACCAATGACCTTCTTAACAGAATTCTGAAAAGCTAGTAGCACCTAGTATGAATGGCCTTCTTAACAGAATTCTGATAAGTTAGCAGCATCTAATACTAATGTCTGTAGCATCTAAGCTGGTCTTTCTGGGGATATTGTTCTAAACATAATTCTGATAAGATGATTGTTTCTTAGATACATAGTTTGACTTTATCAGAATTCTGTTAAAGTGTCTATAGTTTAATTTGGGTAAGAAATCAAGGGATCTTAGCAAAATTTGGATACAGTTTACAGCTTATAAGAAGTGTTAAAATATGTAAAACAGATATGCTAGTAGTGAAATAGATCCAAGGAGTACAGTACACAGAATGATAACTATCATGTGGCAATTCTTCTTTGAAAATCAACGTTCTTTTAGTTGTTAGTTAGAAATTATCTCTCTCTTAACTTGCCAGATCCAGAATTTGATCATTTGGAAATAATCAAATGCAAATGGAAGCTGTTATAAGTAAAGTCATAATAGATACCAGGATTAAAATTTTGTACGCCAGACGTGCGTTTAATCTACAAAAGACTCATCAGTGACGCTCGAGTCTAAAAAGTTAAGAAGGCCAAATAAAGTTCGAAGTTGGAGAGCCAAATTCCGAAAGCATTGCCAACTTACAGATATGGTAATCTATTCCTGGGGTAGACACTCCCTAGTATTTAAAAGAAAATCAAAGTTTTGTAAACAGTTAATTTATAATTAGGATCCTATCAAGGATAATTCATGTCAACACAAACGTGCTGAGTGACTATGTACAGTGCTGGTCACGGATACCTTCGGGGAGGAAACCTCTACCAGCGGTGGCATCGACCCAGTGGTTGTAAATAAACTCGTCATAGATACCAAGATTAAAATTTTATACGCCAGACGCGCGTTTCGTCTACAAAAGACTCATCAGTGACGCTCGTATCAAAACAGTTCAAAAGGCCAAATAAAGTTTGAAGCCAGTTACGGAGCATTGAGGACCAAAAAATTTTGACAACCGTCACCCATTGACGGGACAAACACATGTGAAATATTAAAGATATAAAAAGGACAGACAACACCAATAAACACAGGATCTAATGATAGGAAACATACAATCCAGAGAACCATATCCATGATATCGTTGAATAGCAAACCGACGTGTAAAAATACGTCCGTCGTAGTCCACTTTTGGTCTGAATTTTAAATTAGGCTTTCAACTGCTTTAAAATTTAACACACGTGCATGAACATCAGATAAGGGAATGTTTACAATAACTGAATAACTTAAAAAGAGGTATGTTCATTTTTAAAACATCACCATGACCCTTAAACAACTCAAATTTAACCATTATTGTTTTAATTTTAACTCCCGACAACTTGATACAACAAATAACCAAAACATGAACATATTGGAAAAGTGGAAAGGACCTAAAGGTTCATCAGAAGGAATTGACAAATATGGCCATGTTTACACACAAAAAAAAAATTAAAAACAAAATGAGCGCAAACAGACTTGTGCATCTAGAAAAGATTTATGGCATGACAGGATAAGTAAATAAAATTTCAATGGATTTTATGATTCAGAAATAAAAAAAATTCCCGAAATTTGAGACTCTTTTTTTTCGTTCCCACAGAATGTGCCAAAAATAAATGATAACATGGATAAATTGGGGAAACTTTCCAGATGTTATAATTTTAGTGAATTGCCCATTGAAGTTCAGTATTTATTAGATTGATATATTCGCAATTTGCAATGCACATGATGCAGTAAAACAGGTTCTTCTTGAATTTGAACGGCAGTAGAGTTGTTTGTTCTTATGTTGTGCTGTTACACCACTGTACCACGGTTGGGCGCCCGCAAACACACATGTTTACCCCGCCACATTCTTTATGCGCCTTTCCCAAGTGAGAAGCCTGTAATTCAGTGGTTGTCGTTTGTTGTCGTACGGTGACATCTGGTGGATAAAGTTCATACCACACCTCCTCATTTCTATAATGGTTATTGCCCCTTCAATATTCACAATTTATTAAAGATATGTTTGTTTTATGGTGTTTAATCTGAATGAATGACTTTGAATTCATTTATTTTTCAAACTTTTCCGGTATAAAATATTTTAATCGGTTCTTGCTTTTTCAAGTCTAGTCTGCCACTCGTGCAACCGGCCGGAAAATGTAATAAAAACCCACCTTTGTAATTGCTTGAAAATACGGATATTGTTTTATTTAAATTTGGTGTTATAAATTTTCGAAATCATCTTTAATTAAGGAATGTATCTCCCTGCATGCATAGCTCAATTCCCTTGTCCGAGTTGTCTTTACTTTTGGTCCTTTTTGGTTTTATCAGCTTTTCAACAATTGTGTTTTATGTTTAGATTTTTCAAATATGATCGCCTTGAGGATCACTGAAGAGAAATTAATTATCGAAATGCACATTTGATAACCACTTACGGTCTCCTATCTATATTTATCATATTTGAACGTTGCACAAGGTCATGGTTTTCTCAGACTGTTATGAAGTTTTTAGACTAAATCCATTGGATGTGTGCTGATTGATTTCAGTCTGGGAAGGATGATTTATATATTTGTTGTAATTGGCTTTGAACTAGCTTTCAGTAACTGCGAGTTCATTTATATCGGTCTTTTGTGTCTTTCTCTTTTTGATCGTTGTTTTTGTGCTTTGTGTCGATCTGATGAGTTAAGTCTTGTTGTTGAGCAATCACAAACATGTTTAACCCCGCCAAATTTTATCTGTACCGGACCCAAGCTGTAGCCTGGAATCCAGTAGTTGTTTTCGTTACTGTCTGTAATATTCGTTTTTCGTAAATTGTTTTGTACATAAATCAGGCCGTTAGTTTTCTGGTTTGAATCGTATTACATTTTGCCGTATCGGGGTCTTTTATACTTACTATAGGGTAGTATGTGTTTTGCTCATTGCTGAAGGCCGTATACGATGAACTGTAGTTAAATAAATCTACGTGATTTGGTCTTTAGTTGATACTTGTCTGAACTTGTCTCATTGTCAATCATACCACATCTTCTTCTTATTATTTTGTATAGAATTTGCGATTAAAAGAATAAACATAATTAATGTATTATTATTAAAACATGTATATTTAAGCATGGTACTATCATGTCATTTCTTCTTTTTCTGCTTTCAGAACTATCATTAGCAAAATCATATTAGTGGAATACATAGTTATGTTATTTGGTATGGTGAAGTCTCTGTTCGTTCCATAATTGATATATTGCCTGTGGTGGGAAGATTGTTTTGGGAAGAACAGAGAAAATAATTTCAAACGAAAAAAAAAAAGGATCATAATGACACTGTCAAATAAAACAATATTATCCTACTGTGCTTGCGTAACTGGATTTTCTCTAATAGCGACAGCTTATTCATTTTACTATATCAAAGTTTTTATGAACCTATATCACATTGAAGAAAAATGGTTTCACGGCGCCCAGATCCTATATTTAATCTGGAATGCTGTGAATGATCCCCTGTTTGCTTATATTCAGGACAGCACAAATTTCAAGTTTACGAAGACGAGACGAGAAAGCATTATGTATTCAGGACCATTGTTTGCGATTTCATTTTTGCTGCCATGGATACAGTGGGGAGATAACTCTTTTATAGTTGGAATTCACCTTATTGTTTCGTTATTTATTTGGGATACGCTTTTCACGTTCGTAGGCCTAGCTCAATGTGCCTTGTCGACGGAACTGTCCACCAATTTATCGGATAGAATAACATTAACTCGATATGGTTCCGTTGGGTCGCTCCTTGGTGCCAGCAGTGTCATGGTCTTGGAGTATACGTCCGATAGCTTGCATAATTTTAGAGCTTTTCAAACGACTGCTGCTATTCTAACTATATGTAGCTGTACACTATTTTGGTATGCAGGACGCAATGCCCATACTGTATATGATGTTAAACAAATGTCGACGACAGAAGAGGAGGATAATGGCGACATTTCTCACAATAAAACAACAAAAGAATCTTACTGGAGACAAACAATGCAGATTTTATCAGACAGAAATTTTATTTCATTTGTAGTTGCAAACTTCTGTCAAGAATTTCATCGAGCTTTTCTTAGTAACTTCATGGCTATCTTAGGCGATCATTTAATTTCTGATCAAGATATATCAAGAAACGGGAGGAAGTTGTTTTATGGTGCCGTCACAATAATGCCACAAGTAAGATTAATTTTCATTTGTAACAAATATCCAAATATTTTTGCATTTTATAGTTCATACTATCGTGCAAAAGCGGCGGAACATGGTGTAAATAGGTTTGGGAAGGGGAAAAAATTTTTTTTGACCTCCCTTTTCAGACAAACATTATGTAAAGCCAATTTAAAAAAAAAGTTTAATACTAAATATCGATCTGTTGGGTAATCCTACTATCAATTGTTTTAAGTTGATCCCATTCATTTTTTTGCGATTAATGTACATATAAAAATAAGAAGATGTAGTATGATTGCCAATGAGACAACTCTCCACCAGAGACCAAATGATATAGAAGTTAACAACTATAGGTCACCGCGTACAGTTTATATCAATGTCCTGATACATAATAAATGACATTTGTTTTTTACCAATTTACATGTAAGATTAATATTATATGAAGTCAAACATCCCTTTGTAAGACAAGAACACTAAAGTTGATTGTGTTTTAATTATTTGTAAATGACTCCGGAACAGTACCAAGTTTTAAATTTACTGACACTGTATGCCACTATTTCATTAGCAAGATTCACAAAAGTCTTTACATCCCTTTATAAGAATGAGGTTTCATGTTATATGTACGATAGAACGCACTGGGATAACTGTGCACACATGTAAATCCTGGTAAGATTCATTAATGGTATATTTTGGTGCATCAAGATTCACTTGGACTGCATGTCATAACGTGTTGGGTAAGATTTGCTGACATTGTGTTGTACAAGAACCACTTGGATTGCACGACACATGGTCTCGGGTAAGATTCACTGACATTGTGTTGTACAAGGAACAATTAGATCGTATGACACACTGTATCGGATAAAGTTCAGTGACATCGTGTTGTACAATAAACACTGGTATTGCATAACACATTGTCTCGGGTAAGATTCATTGACATTGTGGTGTACAAGGAACAATTGGGTTGCATGAAACATGGTCTCGGTACAATGACATCGTGTTGTACAAGAAACACTGGTATTGCATGACATATTGTCTCAGGTAAGATTCACTGACATTGTGGTGTACAAGGAACAATTGGGTTGCATGACACATGGTCTCGGTTCAATGACATCGTGTTGTACAATAAACACTGTTATTCCATATTGAAAGAACTTTAGTAGGTTTTTCTATATGAATGGGATTTTGAATAAATAAGCATATTCACCTGTGGAGAAAGTATATTCACCAAAATAACTGTTATTTTAAACATATTTTTCTCTCTCGGAACATGGAGTAAAACAATTACTGTCTTTTGTTTCGGTAAATATGTGGTTTAATTGACTTTTGAAAAACCTAGTGACATTCACTTCGGTCGTTGGCCTCAGTGAATATCAGTTTTTCAAAAGTCAATAAAACCACACATTTACCTCATCAAAAGACAGTAATTGTATAGTATTGCATGACACATTATCTCGGGTATAAATGAGGCGAAAGATACCAAAGAGACATTCAAACTCATAAGTCGAAATCAAACTGACAACGCCATGGCAAAAAACGAAAAACGACCGTAGGACAAACAAGAGTATACAAAACACAACATAGAAAACCAAAGACTGAACAACACGATAATTCACATTGTGTTGTACAAGGAACACTTGTATTGCATGACCCATTGGCTTAAGTGTGATTCACTGGTATTGTGTTGAACAAGGAATACCGATGGTATTGGTATTACATGACCTATTGTCTCGGGTAAAATTTACTGGTATTGTGTTGAACAAGGAATACCGAGGGTATTGGTATAATATGACCCCATTGTCTCGGGTAAGATTCACTGGTATTGTGTTGAACAAGGAATACCGAGGGTATTGGTATTACATGACCTATTGTCTCGGGTAAGATTCACTGGTATTGTGTTGAACAAGGAATACCGAGGGTATTGGTATAATATGACCCCATTGTCTCGGGTAAGATTCACTGGTATTGTGTTGTACAAGGAATACCGAGGGTATTGGTATTGCATGACCTATTGTCTCAGGTAAAGTTCACTGTCTTCGTATTTCATAATATCTCGGGTAAGATTAACTGACATCGTATATCTCTGGTAAGACTGACTGACATACCGGTATAGTATGTCACAATATTCCAGGAAAGATTCACTGGCAACGTACCGGTATGTCACACTATCTCGGGTAAGATTCAGTATCATTGTTTGATTCAAGGCGCAAAGGGATTACACCAGTATTGTATGTCAGAATGTCAATTTCAAAATCGAACATCGGTTTGTTTAAGGTAATAAATATTATTTTTAATCTGAAATTGAAATATTGGAATTCATCTTTCACTTAAAATACCCAGGTATATCAATACTTGACTAAATTATCTCTAAAATTAAGTCTTGAATGAAGGTATATTCAACTTTGCACATTATGTAATAGAAAAACAAAGAATGATATGGGCTATCCATCTATGACACAAAATCAGTACATGAACAGCAAAAAACACACAAAAAGCAAAGGAACAACGCTTTTATTGCTGTTCTTCGTCTCAAAGTCACATATATATAAGTATCAAAGTTTGCTTTGCTGGTAAAATTTTAGAAAACAAATCTTTCCTTTATCGTTTACCCTAATTTTTAAAATGTTGTTATATTAATTTATTTCCATAGGAAAAAAACTTACAGCTTACTGCTGTTTGAAAAGATTATAGTCAAATCTGTAAATTGTATGTTCTTAAATTTTAGCTATTGGTTATTTTTGGAACTCCAATGATAGAAAGATTCTCATACTTCAGTGCAATACGGATCAGCCATATTTACAAAATCGTGGCAGCTATTGTTATGCTTTGTATAGGACAAGATCATCCATGGTGCTTAATTACGTTTCTTATGTTAGATAGGTAGGTACCATAATCGTTTGACCTCTTAACTTTGAACTTATATCCGTTATTCAGTACCACGAGTCAACCGCGAGTCTCTCTAGATATTAAACACGAGGCTTTAAGTAAGTAAAAACCCTTCACTGTTTTTATAGAAAGACCGCTACTAGGACATGTCATGTGCCTGTCATATATGTCAGAAATCCCGTCGGTGGTTGACCTTAAACTTAGCTATTGTTTTTGTGTTTTTGTAGAATTTGGAGTAGTTTATCAGTCATAACTTTTTTTTCGGCTAGAGCTATTTCGAGCTTGATATATCGTACAGACACCTGTCCGTTGTTAAAGTCTGTATATTGACCTAGATACATTTCAGTTATTTTTTGTCGTGGAGTTGCTGTTTCATTGACGCATACTCCACATCTGTGTTAGTCATATTTATACACACAGTAACAATAAAAATTTCAAAGAAACACATAACACTGATTTAATACGAAAAGTACAGAACAGTATAATATTTGTAGAAGTCGGGAAAATAATTAATAAAAAATAAAAGTTACAGGTGCAGATATATTTCTATATACAGAGTCCTTTTAATCAATGTAGAAGAAAGGTACCTGCTCTCTATAACAGAAGTCTCGTCGAATGACATTAGATTGATTGATTGATGTTTAACGCCACTTTTACTTTTAGCACTATTGTGCTATTTCGTGGCGGTCAGTTTTTATTGGCAGAAGAAGCCGGAGTGTCCGCAGAGAACAACTGACAATCGGCAGGAAAACTGACAATTCTAGTCAATTAAAATTGGAGTCGAGATCACCTGCCACGTGTGGGATTCGAACTCACAACTTCAGTGTTGACAGGCTAGTGGAACTACATTATATCACTGGATGGTAGGATTGAATTTTTAATGGAATACTTTTTCATACATATTATTAGAAACTAGCTTATGGATAAAAATATAAGTAATAAGTGTAGGTTATAAACCAGTACGACAGCTACAAAACAAAACAAATGACATCTTCATCTTCTGCGTCTTTTCTTGTTCTCCTAAAAATCCGAGGGTTATTCTTATGAAATATTACTTAATTATACTTATTTGTTTCATCATATATCACTAAAACATAAAAACAGGCAAACAATACCACTTATATGAAATGTAACCGAAAGCATGTCAATATGACATTATCTGTTATGTATCGTGGTTATTTTTATTTGTAATATCAACGGTCGACCTACTGCTGAACAGATTTCAAAGTCATAGATTTATGTACTTGATTTAGATTTCTTAAATAGAAACTTCATAATTGTACCGTGAAGTCAGGAGATTTTTTTTCGAACTTTGCCTACGGAAATATTTAGTTAAGTAGATTCCAATATGATTCTCGACACAAATTAATTTCATTTTACAATACAATATCTTTGAATACAAATTGTTTTTGTACCATTTTGACCACCATCATCGGTCATTTATTTTACATCTTAGAATACATGGTAATTGACTCTACACCTTCAAATATCAGTTTATTTACTGTACAGCTTCTAACAATCTGACTAAAGTATCGCGAGATCCCGTGTCCACGCTTCGCTCATACGGAAGCTTGTAAGCGAAGTGTGGACACATAATCTGTATTTAAATGAGATTGAGTTTCGAATACCAGATAATTTATTTTATTTATATTTTTATTTCAGTTGTTTTGCGAATGCTTCATACTCGTTGCTTTGTCTACCGTTGTCTGACATAGCTGATGCCAACATGATGAAATATAATAGAAAGTAAGCTTTTAAGCTAAGTGTATAAATTCATATGTATATTGGGGTCTCGGTGGCAGAGTGGTCTAAGTAGTCGAACTACTGTATCACTAGCCTGTCAACACCGCGGTCTCGCACAGACGGACAAATATTGCAAATCAAACATTTTCCATAGAACAATTATTAGTTTTACACTGAAGTAAAGTAACCGAGAAATGTATCAGTGAAAGTTCAAAAATGTTCGTACTAAGAACAATACTCTTTTTAAATAGTTCTAAACAGAGATACACAATTTTCACAATTTCAGCGATATCACAATAGTTCTACATCATTTTTTAAAAATTACAATTTAAAAATGCATTTTGTATTTTGTTTTGTTTTTGCAGACATCCAATATCTTCAATGATTTTTGGAACAAATGCCTTGATAGTTAAACCAGCAATATCTCTCTCTCCAATGTTGGTAGTCGCCATTTTGAATAACCACGGGTATAGCCAACTAAAAGATAACGTAGCAGACGATGTTGATCTGCAGACGTCTCGTGAACTGAAACATGCAATGTTTATGTTAATATGCTTTTATCCAATGGTTATTGGTATCATACAATTTATTTCATGGTCAAGATACTCTGTACGAAAAAGATCGAAACATATTTTAATTGATTTATAAGAAAAAAATAAATGAAAAATTAAGATATTCTTGTCTTTTCCCCAAATCTGTCATGATTTAGCAATGTCTATGAAAGGATCGAGATACGGGTTAAATGTCAATGAAACAACAACTGGTGCCTGCAAAACAAAATAAAAACAGAACAGATATATTGAGGCCAGCATACATGCAGCAACGATAGACACAATAACAATAACGGTACCAATGTTACTACTCCAAAAAAGCATTTTGACAATTAATGTCCCTCCAGTAATAATCGAGGCCAAAAACGTTTGAAAGTCCTAAACCTGATGCAAACGTTGAAGGCGTCTATTTATGATGTAAAACTCTACTAAGATAGGCCTTAGCTTTTAAATTTGCAAAACATTCTCGGGCGGTCTACCAAAGATCTCAGGCAATCAACATTAAAATTCTTTAAAGGACAACTTGTTTTAGTCAGAATGGTTGGTCAATCGACAATCTGTAAGGAACATGCTAATGTATCAAAGAGACAACAACCCGACCGAAGAGCAGAACACAGCCAAAGGCCACCAATGGGTCTTCAATGCAGCTTGAAAATCTCGCATCCGGAGGAGCCGGTCACTAAACGATAATGTATATTCGTTCAGCAAAATTGACGCCACACTTAACTCCGAAACATACACATGAACCAAAATTAAAAAAATAACATACACGACTAACAAAGGATATTTAATGTGCCTGTTCCAAGTCAGGAACATCGTCAGTGGTTGCTTTTATATCTATCACCAGGAATCAATGGGAAACAATTCATGAAAAAAATCTATAAAAGTTGTAGTTGTTTTTTTTGGGGGGTAAACTGGGACATAAATGAGCACCTATAAAGTTCCAAGTTGTAAAGTGGAAGTCACCCCTTCAACAATGTTACTGACGCCAGCACAAGTTGGTTGACTGTTATTAAATATCTGAACAATGGATATGTTCCCATTGTCGTTAATACAATCTTTTCTTCGAATGTGACATCACCAAATTTGTACTTACATGAGCAACACGACGGGTGCCACATGAGGAGCAAGATAATATTTTGCTTACCCTTCTGGAAAACCTGAGACCACCCCTAATCTGTTTAAAAGTGGTCCGTGTTGCTTTCTTTGGGTTTTTTATGTTGTGCTTTGTTGACTGCTGTTTGTCTTTTCGTCACTGAGGTTGTGATTTCGAATCCAGCACGTGGCAGGTGCGCTCGACTCCAATCTTAATTGGCTAGGATTATCAGTTTTCCAAAACTGACCGCCACGAAATAGCTCATTAGTGCTGAAAGTGGCATTAAACAACAATCAATCAGTCTTTTTGTCGTTTTACGTTCTTTGCCATAGACATGTCAGTTTGAACTAATGAGTTTGAATATCCCTTTGATATCTTCCGTATCTCTTTTATAAGAATTACGATAATTGACCCAAACCACCCTCAAACTTGGATGCCATCTTTATTTAACAAAAAAGAGGGAAGGAAAGAGTTTGAAAAAATCAAACGAAGGACCAAAATGCTGTTTAAATGATAAATTTAATAGCCTCTTAAGAATAATGGTCTATGACCTCACCAACCTCACACAAACTCTTACTACTACTAATGATAATTAAAAGATCGAGTATTCGGTTAGTTCCGGATGAGAGAATTTTTATGGAAGAACGACCTTTCGAAGATGAGGAGATTCATGAAGACTGTTCTCGTCCGGACAATTTTTGTTTTAGTTGCAGAACTGGGGCTGAGGTTTAGTACAATAGAGTTTAATAATACCAGTTATAGTTTGCTCTTTGTTCTTGTTGCGCGATTTACGAGAAAAGGCTGCAGGCGGGGTCAATAGTGTCGTACCAGTGGCGGATCCAGAACTTTTCATAAGGGGGGGGGGGGGGGGGGGGGGGGGGCGCTGACTGACCTAAGGGGGGGCCGCTCCAGTCATGCTTCAGTGATTCCCTATATAATCAACAAAATTTTTCCCGGGGCCCGGATAACGGATTTAATTCTTAATAACTATTTCTACGAATTTGTGATAACGATTTTAGTCCGTTATAACTATTTATGAAATTCATTATAACGATTTTAATCCGTTATCACGAATTATCAAAAAAATGTGATAACAAATTCTACGAATCCGTGATAACGATTTCAATCCGTTATAACGATTTATACAATTCGTTATCACGATTTATAAAATTCGTTATTACGATTTTAATCCGTTATCTCGAATTACAAAAAATTGTGATAACAAATTTAATTCGTTATTAAGAATTACAAAAACTGTTATAACTAATTCTGGAAATTCGTTATCACGAATTTAATCTGTTATAACGAATTCTTCAATTCGTGATTTCGAATTCAAATATATATTTTTGGGAGATCCTAAATGGGCTTCCGTATAAATTACTATCAAATTGTATTTGTTATTGATTTATTTACGACCTTCTATCATAATATCGGTTGCTGATTTTAAAACCCTTCAAACAAAGTCGCCTCAATTGTTAGAAAAAAAGAAAATTTTACAAAAAGATTAAGTAATAATAAAACAAAAAATACGTGGGGACCAATTGCTACCAATTGCTACCTAAATGGGCTTCCGTACTTAAATACATTCTATATTTAATTTTAATAATTAATAGTTAAGATATCTTGACGCTAAATAAGTCTGGATAACGGATTGGGAATCCGAGATCACGGATTGGGTATACGAGATAACGGATTGCGAATCCGAGATAACAGATTATTAATCCGAGATCATGGATTGGAAATTCGAGATAAAGGATTGTTAATACGAGATCACAGATTATTAATCCGAGATCATGGATTGGAAATTCGAGATAACGGATTGTTAATACGAGATAACGGATTGGGAAACCGAGATAACAGATTAATTTTATTTTTTATGTGTCCCTTCATGGCTTCCATAAACAGGGAAACTGAAATAACGGATTGTTAATTCGAAATCACGGACTGGGAATCCAAGATAACGGGTTGCAAATTTAAGATAACGGATTATTAATCCGAGATGACGGATTGCGAAATTGAGATAATGGATTGCGAATCCGAGATAACGGATTATTAATCCGATATCACGTATTGTGAATCCGAGATAACGGATTGGAAAACCGAGTTAACGAATTATTAATCCAAGATGACGGATTGGGAATCGGAGATAACGGATTGCGAATCCGAGATAACGATTTATTAATCTGAAATCATGGATTAAGACTCCGAGATAACGAATTATCAATCCGATATAACTGTAACGTGTCGGGGGTTCGTACGCGAGTTGATTCTCGAGATCTGAGACTTGTGTATATATATTTTTTTGTTTATAATTCCTCTTTAACTCTCTCGGCTCATTAAAGCTCCTCCAGCTCATTTATTATTCAGCCAAACTGGCTTACTGACTCTACATGTCAAATAAATAGCAAGATCTACTTGCTCACTAGCTCAGTAGCTCCTAGCTCAACAGACTCACTAGCACTGAAGCTCCACTGGCTCACATTATTTCTATTTCAAATAGTTGCCTCAACATGCTCGCAATATTGTTGCTCTTTCTGCTATATAGTTATCTTAATAAAAGAAGCTCTCTTAGCTCTATAGCTCTTTTGCTTTTCTCGATGCAGCTCACTAACAGCTTAAGACAATTCTTCTGCTAAGTTTCAGTTATTGGAAAGACTCGAGCAGTCAATCCAATGTTTGGAACAATAAGCAGGTATTTATCTTATCACTTATACGTGTGATCTTATCGTAATACCGACCCTGACTGACTGCTGACGGCTGTTTATATACCACTGAATGATTGGGATATACCACTATGGGACAATACCATTACCCTGTATTGCCTAGTAACAAGGGTGTTTCAACCCTGGACGAGTCCACCTTTATTGGACTGTGCCATATAGAGCATTTCATAGTAACAAGGGATGTCAAGTTATTAAACGATAATATCTTATCTCAAGGAAGATATTATGGTACCGGATAACCATCAAAATACCAATTATATTGTAATTGCCTCACAAGCCGATTATTCTTCATACAACTTCACTCATTTGCCGGTTTATAAAATAGAGATATGCATAAGCACACGCATTGGAAAGTGGAATATAGTCCAAAATAATGCAAGTTATCAAATGATTAACCTCACTGTAACTTTAATAAAATGTAACTTATTAATACGATGAAGTTTAGGGTAAGTATTATGTCAGATAGAGAAATTGTTACTGTACCTTTTAATTCCAATGTTTCTCTGTTTTGAGTTCAAATACGAAAGAGGACAGAAACTAATGAATTCGTCCTTTATAGTGCATAGTCGTACCAAACACATTCGTCACATTACCCACGCCTCCGAGAAATGCGTCCTCGCATTTTCTTTGCAAGGAAAAGATTTTCCTTGCAAAGACAGAATCATTCCTATATCAGGAATTACCTTCTGAACTCGTAGAAATACATTTTCCCACTTTAACAAATTTGCGACTCATTCATTGCCCGATAAACTAAGGGATAATGATCAAAATATTGTTAAAACGTTAAGCTCATGGTTGATGTATTCCATCTAAGCGTTTTGTAATCAGACCTCTGAACAAATATAACTAGATATGACCAAATGACGATCTTTCCTGAGGCATTCATCGGTGTCTGACGACAAGTCTATGTCAGATATTATAACTTTACTTTTTGGTTCATTTTTTTGGTATGTACTTTCTTATGTCTTTTAACATTACTCACTTTGTTGCTTATATATGAACACTCCACTTCTGTGCATGTATAACGTTTATTAATGGCACTCATACCACACTCTACTAAATGCTCCTTTAAGTCATCTGTATCCAGTGTCTTGTAAGGGCACCAGGGACACTTTTGATGTTGACTCTTAGGTCTTTTGGCATATTTCTTTTTTTTCTTCCTTTTCTGAAAGTATAAAATAAAACAATAGGATAAAAGTTATGCTACACTTAGCTTAAAACTATATACTAGTACTAGTATATAAACTTATACTATAACATATCTACAGCAATATACATTATACTAAAATATCTAGCTATGTTCCCTCTTTAACTCTGAAAGGTATACTAGCTCGTCTACTATTTCACGTAATCTTTCATCCATTGTGGTATTTCTTAAGCCTTCCTGAGACCGAACTTGGTACAGGATTTGAAAACTCCTCGGGTTTACTTAACTTACTACTCATTGTTTCTTTGTTCGATACTTCCACTATTGAATCAATATTGTCTCCTATATTCATTCACATTCTTACAAGTTTCAAACGTGAAATTTTCTACTCCTTCGTTTCTATAACCTGGGATGTCTTCATGTTTTTCACTCGTTAAAACTTGTGCTGATCGCTTACGCATACGATCCACATGTATAACTTGTGGACGTTTTTATCGCCCACAATTAACCTTATATGTGACATTTGACATTTTTGATATAATATTAAACGGTCCTCTCCATAAACTAGTTAATTTTGACGTTGTGCCAGTTTTTACATTTGGGAAAAATTCGAAAACGTGATCCCATTGTTTAAAGGTTTGCCATGCTAACTTTTGATCATGATATTTCTTTTGTCTCATCATCTTCCCTTTGATACTTTCTCTTACTTCCAAATGAGCCTCTTCCATTCTCTCTTTTATCTCCCACGCCCATTTATTCTGGTGAATAGTTTCAATATTTCTTGGCATTGCATACTGAATATCTAAGGGCGTAGTAACCTCCCTGCCTAACATAAGATAATTTGGGGTATTGCCTGAAGTCTCATGTTCTGAAGATCTGCACGCCATGAGAACATAAGGCAAATGTTCGTCCCAATCATTTTGATATTTGTTAACATATGAGCTGAGCAAAGTAACTAACGTTTTGTTAAATCGTTCAACCATCCCGTCCGATTTTGGATGGTAAGGGGTGGTTCGTGTTTTATTGATTTGTTAGAGCTTACAGAGCTCTTGAAAAAGGGCACTTTCAAATTGTACTCCTTGATCAGAGTGTATTGAATATGGTGTATCGAATCGAGCAATTACTTCCTCAACAAGAATTTTGGCTACAGTTTGTGCATCCATGTTTGGCAATGGAAACGCTTCAGTCCATTTCGTATAATAATCAGAAATAACCAAAATATATTTGTTTCCACTCCTGGTCATTGGTAGCTCACAAAGAATGTCCATTGCAATACGTTCCATCGGAAAACTTGACTCCGATTTCTGCATAGGTGCTCGTTTCATAGGATTTGGAGCCTTTCGTTTTGAGCATTGAGTACACCCGATGATATATTGCTTCACATCGGTGTGAATTCCTGGCCAATACTATCTATCTCTAATTTTTGCTAAGGGTCTTTCTAACCCCCCAAATGGGCTGAAGTGCGATTGTCATGATACTGGATCAAAACGTTTCTTCTCTCTCTTTTTGGTACAACTGCTTGTAATACCGTTTTCGGTTCTTTCTTTTGACGACAAAGTATATCATTGTGTATAACTAAAAACTCAAATAGAGCCTAAAGTGTCTTCACAGTCATTGACTCAGCACCTATTGTCCTGAAGTCTGGTTTCTGTTTCAATTCTACCCAGTCCCGAACCATCTTTAAATCATCGTCTTGTTTTTGCTTTTCCACAAAACTGGTATCATTAGGCTCCTCTGAACTAGCGATTGTTCTAACCAGCTCACTAACCTTTTCATCTTCTTGGGGACTTGAATGAAATTCGCATTGTTTACATGGGATGCGACTCAAGGCGTCCACGTTTGTATGTTGCTTCCCAGGCCTATGTATTATTTTCATATCGTATGAACTTAGAATCTGAAGCCATCTGGCTATTTGTCCCTCAGGCTCCTTGAAATTAAGAAGCCAGGTAAGAGAACTGTGGTCTGTACGGACAATAAACCGTTTACCATACACGTAATGTTTGAAATGTTTTGTAAAATGAACAACTGCGAGTAGTTCCTTTCTAGTCACACAGTATCTGCGTTCTTGTTTTGTTAAAGTGCGACTCGCGAAACCAATTGGTCTTTCTTTCCCATCTATCTCTTGTGAAAGCACTGCTCCCATAGCCTCATTACTTGAATCTGTATCAAGTATAAAGGTTTGAGTAAAGTCAGGGTGAGCCAATACTGGTGAGGAGACTAATTGTGTTTTTAAGCATTCAAAGGCTTCTTGACACTGTTCATTCCATTCATATTTTCTGCCTTTTTCTGTCAATCTATGCAAGGGTTTTGCAATAGCTGAAAAGTTCCGTATAATATTTTCTGTAATAGCCACAAAACCCTAAGAATGAGCGCAGCTCCTTAACATGTTTCGGTACAGGCCATGTTTCGATTGTTTCTGTTTTCGCTGGATCAGTAGCGATCCCTGCTGGAGAGATAACATGTCCTAAATAGGTAACTTGTTTTGAGAACAGTTCACACTTTTTCGCCTTCAATTTTAGTCCAGCTGCATAAAGTCGATCAAATACATTTCGAAGGTTTGTTACCATGTCATCGAATGATTTCCCAAGAACTTTTATGTCATCGAGGTATATGAGACAAATGTCCCATTGCAAACCAAGTAAAACCGTCTCCATTAACCGTTCAAACGTTGCTGGAGCACCCTTTAATCCAAAAGGCATTACTTTAAACTCGTATAGTCCAGATCTGGTTGCAAAGGCTGTTTTCGATTGATCTTTAGGCTCACATTCTACCTGCCAATATCCAGACGAAAGATCTAATGTTGAATACCAGGTGAATCCAGATAAGTGATCAAACGAGTCATCTATCCGGGGTAAAGGGTATGCGTCATTAAATGTGACTGCGTTCAATTTCCTGTAATCTACACAAAAGCGCATTGTCCCGTCTTTCTTTCGCACAAGAATAACTGGAGCTGACCAAGGACTCATTGGTGGAGTGATCAATCCATTTTTCAACATTCCGTCATCTTGCTCATCCACCTCTTTCGCTAGAGTATTTGGGAGTCTTCGTGGCGCTTGTTTAATCGGCGAAGCTGTTCCTGTATTTATTTTATGTTTTACTACATTCGTTTTACCCAAGTCTGCTTCTGAAGCAGAAAACAGCGTTTCGTATTCTTTTAATAAATTTTCAACTACACCATATTCTTTTGAACTCAAGTGTTGTTGTAACCTACTTATTAAATTCTTCAAATTTGATCTTAGATATGTCTTGTCAAATTTATTCATTTCGTTCATTTTTACTTCTTGCACAGGACTAACCTGAGCAATAGCAATTCCAGGATATATGATCTGCGAATCTGCAGATGTATTCATCAAACGAACTGAAACTTCTCCACCTGATTTAGCTAATGAGCGTCCCACTAAACCTTTTCCACTTTGCAAAAACTTATCTGAAGCTTCAACCATGAGGTTTGAATCGAGAATAGATTCCTTGTTTGGAATATTCACAGCTCCCGTGATAATCATATCGCTTTTAGCGGGCACGACCACTTTCTCTTTGGCAATAACTCTGAAACAACCGAATATTCCTTCATATTTCAACATAACCTGAGTACCATCAATTTCAAAACTATTCTTCTCAAGATCAATCTTACCTTTGATTGTCTTCATAAAATCAAGTCCAAGGATACCATCAATTGTGATTTGAGCCACAATAGCCTCAACAACAACAGATTTTCCGTATTGGAAAACCAGATGAAAACTACCTTTACCTACAATCTTAAGTTGATCACCACTGGCAGTGAACACTTGTTGATTTGAACTCATCAAAGCTGGTTGTCTTGGCCCTAGGTATCCTATTATATGTTTTCTCGGAAATAATAGTTACCGTGGCTCCTGTATCTACCAGCAAACTAGCTGATAATCCATATAGGTCAGTGTCAACATACATGCCAGCTTCATGAGCTGCTGTCGAGACACCTATATTACCGTGCAAACCATTTTTCTGGTTCTGTGAACTTCTTATCATGCGTGTTGTACCTCTACCTCTACTATTATTGAAAGAATTATAATTACTTTGTCCGTTATAAGAATTGTCTCTTTGCCGATTTGTGTTACCTGAAAATCCACGTCCATTATTATTATAACGACCTCCTCTTTGTCGAAATCCACCTCTGTTAAATCGTCCCCGTCCGTTATTATTTTGTGTCTGACGACTATTACTGTCGTTCTTTAGCTCACGGATGTCATTTTGCAGCTCTTGAAGTTTTTGTTCCATCTTTGACATTAACTTGGTTAATGCAGTGTGATCATTTTTCATTTCTGTCAATATGGCTCTCCTTTTCATCAGTCTGTGATGTTTGTCTTAAATAGGAACGGCCGTCTATAAGTTGTTTTTCTGCCCTATTATACGTTTCGAGTTCAACTGCTACTCTGAGTGCATCATTTAAACCATGAGGCCTGGACTGTTTAATACGGATTTTCATTTCTGAGTCTGTCAAAGCCTCAATAAAATGTTGTTTTGCAAGTGTATCTCGTACATCCTCTGGTACCGTTGGATAAGCTTGATTTATTAATCGTCTTATTGATTGTCCTAACTCTGGCAGGCTCTCTGATGCTTTTTGTCTTCTCTCTGTAAGCTGTACTCGATAAAGCTCTGTTTGATTCGGTAGAGCAAACCTTTGCTCCAGAGCATTTACCAACGCTTTATAATTTTTTGTTTATCAATCGATAAATCCCCCAAAATGCCTTGAGCTTGCCCTCTTAATGCGACTGCTAAATACAGTCCTTTACCCTGTTCAGACCAATTATTAATGCTTGAGAAAGCCTCAAAATGGGACTTAAAATCTAACCATGATGAGGTACCTTCATATGTTGCAGGTTTAACTCGCACTGATGTAGAGTTGTTTTGTCTCAAGTTTTTATTATCTGTCTTCATAATGGGTTCATTATTTCTCTTAGTATCTGTAGAGCGTTTTGATCTTACAGTTACCCCTGATGGTACATAATCTTTATTATTATCAAGTAACTTTGGATACAATTTGTCCTCAGTTGGTTCCTTAAAGGATTCCTATTGCTCCAATTGCTCTTTCAGTTTCCATATATTACAATCTATTAGTTCAGATTCTGTCGATGGTCGACCAGTAGCATACCCGGACTCTTCCATAAAATCATAAGATAAGCGATGCGAAGGTAGTCTAGGTGTAGACTGACTGGGATTTTCTGTTACGTTCATTTTGCTCATGAACTCATCCATTTCATCTGGAAATAGTTTTGCCATTATGACTTCTCAAGAAATAACAACAACAGTATTTTAAATATTTTATTTACTTAAATATAATTGAGCGTATAATTGACTCGTAAAGCTCTTTTGACTCCTTACTAGCTTTTCCGAATCGTATTGGATATCTCAGATTTACGAAGTTTTCTCAGATCCCACCGCTGCCACCAATTTATGTAACGTGTCGGGGGTTCGTACCCGAGTTGATTCTCGAGATCTGAGACTTGTGTATATATTTTCTTTTGTTTATAATTTCTCTTTAACTCTCTCGGCTCATTAAAGCTCCTCGATCCCATCTGGCTTACTGACTCTATATGTCAAATAAATAGCAAGATCTACTTGCTCACTAGCTCTGTAGCTCCTAGCTCAACAGACTCACTAGCGTTGTAGCTCCACTGGCTCACATTATTTCTATTTCAAATAGTTGCCTCAACAGGCTCGCAATATTGTTGCTCTTTCTGCTATATCGTTATCTTAATAAAAGAAGCTCTCTTAGCTTTATAGCTCTTCTGCTTTTCTCGATGCAGCTCACTAACAGCTTAAGACAATTCTTCTGCTAAGTTTCAGTTATTGGAAAGACTTGAGCAGTCAATCCAATGTTTGGAACAATAAGCAGGTATTTATCTTATCACTTATACGTGTGATCTGATCGTAATACCGACCCTGACTGACTGCTGACGGCTGTTTATATACCACTGAATGATTGGGATATACCACTATGGGACAATACCATTACCCTGTATTGCCTAGTAACAAGGGTGTTTCAACCCTGGACGAGTCCACCTTTATTGGACTGTGCCATATAGAGCATTTCATAGTAACAAGGGATGTCAAGTTATTAAACGATAATATCTTATCTCAAGGAAGATATTATGGTACCGGATATACCAATTATATTGTAATTGCCTCACAAGCCGATCATTCTTTATACAAGTTCACTCATTTACCGGTTTATAAAATAGTCAGAGATATGCATAAGCAATCGCATTGGAAAGTGGAATATAGTCCGAAATAATGCAAGTTATCAAATGATTAACCTCACTGTAACTTTAATAAAATGTAACTTATTAATACGATGAAGTTTAAGGTAAGTATTATGTCAGATAGAGAAATTGTTACTGTACCTTTTAATTCCAATGTTTCTCTGTTTTGAGTTCAAATACGAAAGAGGACAGAAACTAATGACTTCGTCCTTTATAATGCATAGTCGTCCCAAACACATTCGTCACATAACAGATTGGGAAACCGAGATAACGGATTAATTTTATGTAACATGTGTCTCCTTATGGCTTCCGTACCTGTTGACTTGTACTCACAAATTTCACATAAATATTTATTTTTTTTCGGGAGGGACTTCCCACCCCCCTATTATTAGTGATGCTAGATAAAATGTAATGAATCAACTCTAAATTGTTAGACATGTATTCCTTGTAAATTTCAGCCAATTAATCATTATCTAAAAAGTTTGGGTCACGAAAGTTTGATCATTATGCATTTCAATGGAGGGGTTGCAAAAAACATTTTATTAGTTGTATATACTTGTACAAATGGACCTTGATTTTATCTATTAGTTGTTATTGACTTTTGAGCTAGCTTTCAGTAACTGCGAGCAATCCTAGATTGGTACTTTGTGTCTTTTGTCTTTATGTTAGTTGTTTTTTTATGCTACGTGCCTATATTATGAGTCAAGCCATTTTCAATTGATTTTAACAATTTGTTTTTATGTTGTGCTGATTCAACTTCCACCACTGTCCCAGGTTAAGAGGACAGTTGATCGCTCGCAAACATGTTTAACCCCGCAATATTCTTTATAACCCTGTCCCAAGACAGGAGCCTGTTTTTTAGTGATTGTCGTTGGTTGCTGTCTGCTTTATTTGTTTCTCGTTTTTTGTTTTGCAATAAATAAGGCCATTAGTCTTATCGTTGGAATTGTTTCACATTTTATGTCGGGCTTTTTATAGCTGATTATACGGTAGGAGTTCTGCACATTATTGAAGGCCGTACGGCGATCTATAATTTCTTAAATCTACGTCATTTTTACCCACTTAGATAGTTGTCTCATTGGCAATCTTATATCTCCTTATTTTATGCAAATTACCCATTCAGATTTTAATATCAGTTTAATTATCTAATACAAAAGTATATGGTTGAATTGTCAAATTTGTTCAGTTATCCAGTGACGAAAACATAAGTATAAGGCTTTAGCTTGGTGTATATCTGTTGGTGGGATCAACATGTTTTCCTCCATGTAAATACAACCCAACTCGAACACTTCTTCTTCATATGGGTACATATTCTCTTCAGAACACTCAGATCAACATAGCTCTAGTACTTCGGCGTCGATGGGACGTATATAATCCTGAACATGCTAAAAGTTAAACAATTCAGGAAAAGGGTAAATATTTATTGGCCGGCCATGAAAATCATCTTCTCTGCTACCTCTTATTTTATGCGTATTCCACACATGTACGGATTGATTTCATTCGTCCTGAAAAAAAAAGTAACTGATTATCTCTAAATGATATGAATTCAATTTGTAAATAGTCAAATTACAGATTTGTTTGTCCTCACACCATGCAACAAATATGCGAATAAGCGGACAAACACATCGGGACGATTGAGGTATATACACTAGTAACTGATTATTATTGATCGGTCAAACGCTGTTTAAAATGAATAAAATTTCTATTTTAATTACATCCTGAATTAATTTTTATTAATTTAGATCAATCTTGTGTCAATTTATTTTAAACGATCAATTAAAATAGATTGGTTTGATTTGGTTTGATCGTCTGAAAGGACTCTGTTTGAAATTAATTGTCTGAGGTTTGATATATCCCTCAATGCTGTTGAATAAGTGAAAATATTTCATATGGTGTGATTGTTTTCTTGATTCTCATTGGCTTAAATTGTAGCATTTCTCATTGGTGTAAAGCGTATGTATGGTATATTTCGAAAAAAAAATGCTTGCTATGTTTACAGCATTTTGTCGGTTTGTTCTGATTACGTTCCTTTTCGTACAGATGTAGCACAAGCCATAAATTCCGGCTAACTTTTCATAAAAAAAAATTGTTTAGTCATGTAATTTAACAATTAGGACTTGTAACTCGCTAAGTAAGTTTTATATAAACCCGTTCATTGATTTCAACCTCTTTCCCGTTCGTTTATATAACTCTATGAGGTCCGTACAAAACCCCGATATAAAATGTATTGACCTCGTCAACGCTTCATAATTGATAAATATAGGTTCTACCACTGCATCGAGCGTGATACGATACTTCTCCACTCGAGACCTTTAAATTTTCAAATTTCAAATTTATTTGTCGAGAGTGGATACATATCGTTTTGCACGAGAATTGGTGTTGGAATCTGTTTCCCTAATGATTTTTAGACGATATGCAGACAAAGTTTATCCTTCTTTTCCAATGATCCGCAAAAGATGCGTTCTTTCTATGTGACGCCTTTTTCGTGACATCACAATAAGAAAATCAGAGGACAGCAAGAACATTTGAAGTTATAATTGAATTTGACCAATAAAGAACTGAGATTAAACGAACCACACGTTGAATAAATTAAAAAAATCAACAGGTCAAGAAAAGCATAAATCGGATAAGAATATAAAGGAAATATAAATATATCTAATTACATTATGTGTAGCCAAGATTTTTAAAATTGCGACAATCTGATCGGCGTAGATGCGATTACAGGACATCAAGGTTAATTCTTCATCACTCAATGAAGTGAAAAATCAAACTTTTTCACTGCTGAATGTGACTATAAATACTAAATGCATCTTTTTGAAGTTTCATAGAGTTGCAAAAATGTGAATGGGAATCCGAGATAACGTATTATCAATTCGAAATAACGGATTATTATTCCGAGATAACGGATTAGGAAACCTAGATAACGGATTATCAATCCGAGATCACGGATTGTTAATCTGAGATTATGGATTAGGAATCCGAGATAACGGATTGGGAATCCGAGATAACAGATTGGGAAACAGAGATAACGGATTATAATTTCGAGATCGCGGATTGGGCTTCCGTAGATACTAAACGTAATGATATCACAACGGCAAAATTATTATCCTTTTAACATCAACAATACACTCTTGAGGAATGGAGAAAGATTTTAAGGACAAATCGTTGTTTATATAAAAATAATTTTACCGTAATAAGTTAGTTGATAACATAACACTGTTTCCTTCAATTATGATAAAACTGAGTAAAAGTATTAATCACCTCATTGACTTTTGAGACGTCACTGCAAACATGCGCATTTCGAACCAACCGAGTCTGATATCCCTTCGATATTGACATATTGTATATAACTAAGGCATACTGAATATTTACAGTAGAACCAACCATTCAGTATTAATTGAGAAATATATATCTGTTAGACTCTTCTTTAATATTTTTTAGGAAGATTATATCACGTTTGTTTATGTACCAAGAAACTTAAACCATAGCCAACAGGTTTTCATTGAACAGTTTTATGGCAATATATATATTTGATGGTAAGAAAATTTGACATTGATGTATGAATATAAGTTGTTTACATTAATTTTTAGTTCTCAAGGGGAAAACATTTCCTGTTATGTAGTCAGAGATAAGGAAAAACATATTTATTCTGTCATGTGCAGGATTTATATTATATAAATATTGATTTTGTTTTTTGTTTTTAAATTTTCAATCAGATTGGTTTTGGCTCATTTAGATTTCATAAAATTTTGACAAAATATGTACTTTAACCTGTTGACCAAAATATAAAAAGTTCAAGAAATTTGAACCACACAATTTACAAGAATAATTTCATTGGATATATTGAAGTTTGACAAACACTAATATGATCACTGAGAAGCTTGATTTCTCTGTGCTTATAGTATGTGATTAAACATTCTGCTGATTTTTAAAGAGTTAACTCACTAAGATGTTCTTTACTCCCTTAATTTTGTTTACATCGTCGTTTAAATGGTAGTTTTACTTGACATAAATAAAACGAAGGATGCCATCAGTGGTGAAGGAACTGATTACCCTTACGTAGCACCTGCTGACATTTCCGGTTACTCCGTCATTGGTTTTCTGTGTAAAGTTATTTCATTGTTGTTTGTCTGTTCAGCGTTTTTGTTTTGGCCATGGTGTTGTTTATTTTTATTGGACTTTATTGATTTTGAATACCCCCTTGATATATTCTTTCTCTTTTTATGAGGGTTTGGATGTGGTTTACAGAATAGAGAATAATGGACAAAAAGTGCAGAATAAATGAAAAAAAAATAAAGAATAGAGAAAAATAGGTTAAAAAAAATAAAGAATAGAGAATAATAGGGTGTTAAAATATAAAGAAAAGAGAATACTGGGCAAACTAAATAAATAATAGAGGAAAATGTTCTAAAAATAAAGAATAGAGAATAATGGGGTGTTAAAATATAAAGAAAAGAGAATACTGGGCAAACTAAATAAATAATAGAGGAAAATATTCTAAAAATAAAGAATAGAGAATAATAGGGTGTTAAAATATAAAGAAAAGAGAATACTGGGCAAACTAAATAAATAACAGAGGAAAATGTTCTAAAAATAAAGAATAGAGAATAATAGGGTGTTAAAATATAAAGAAAAGAGAATACTGGGCAAACTAAATAAATAATAGAGGAAAATGTTCTAAAAATAAAGAATAGAGAATAATGGGGTGTTAAAATATAAAGAAAAGAGAATACTGGGCAAACTAAATAAATAATAGAGGAAAATGTTCTAAAAATAAAGAATAGAGAATAATGGGGTGTTAAAATATAAAGAAAAGAGAATACTGGGCAAACTAAATAAATAATAGAGGAAAATGTTCTAAAAATAAAGAATAGAGAATAATAGGGTGTTAAAATATAAAGAAAAGAGAATACTGGGCAAACTAAATAAATAATAGAGGAAAATGTTCTAAAAATAAAGAATAGAGAATAATAGGGTGTTATAATATAAAGAAAAGAGAATACTGGGCAAACTGAATAAATAATAGAGGAAAATGTTCTAAAAATAAAGAATAGAGAATAATAGGGTGTTAAAATATAAAGAAAAGAGAATACTGGGCAAACTAAATAAATAATAGAGGAGAATGTTCTAAAAATAAAGAATAGAGAATAATGGGGTGTTAAAATATAAAGAAAA